ATACAAAAAACTACGAATTCCAACAACGAATTTCGACCTGTTATCCCAGCTAGTCTTAGATTAAATATCCTGCAGGAGCTCCATGACAGCCCTTTAGCTTCTCATGCTGGTATTCGAAAAACTATCCAACGCGTACGCGAGGCAGTCAGTCTACTTTCCTGAACTGCAAAAGTTAACAAGGGCGTATGTCCAGTCCTGCCCAACATGTCAAGCAGTTAATTATATTAATTTCCGCCCGGCCGGGTTTCTAAATAGTATTAAATCCGAATTTCCAAATGAAATAATTGGCATCGATTTATTGGGCCCTTTCCCAAAAAGTCAGTTAAATAAAAAAGTCGCTATCTCCTTGTTATGGTTGATCATTTTAGTAAATGGACCGAAAAATTGTTCCCTTAAAACGAGCCTCCGCGAAATTAGTTACTGATTCTATTTTAAATAAATATATTTTAAAATACGGGGCGCCCCTAAAAGTTATATCGGATAATGGTCCTCAATTTGTAAGTAATATATTTGAAGACATGTGCCAAAAACTGGGCATACGTCATTTAAAAATGGTCCCGTATCGGCCGCCGCAATCAAATATAGCGGAACGGGTCAATAGAAATATAGTGAAAATTATCCGTAGTTATGTTAAAAATTTTCATAAAAGCTGGGATAACTATGTCAATGAATTTGCTTTCGCCCTTAGGACCGCAAAACATGATACAACGGGCAAAACTCCTGCTGAGTTATTTTAGGCAGAAAGATTATAACGCCGTTAGATAAATTATTTTATGTGCAACAAAGAGCCCCAGAATTTAAAATGGGTGATATAGAAAAAAAAAACTAATTAAGGAAGAAGCAAAAAAGAATACTGAAGTAGCACAGAGAAAACAGAAGCTTATTATGATTTGAAACGACGGGGAGTAACTTATAAAGTAGGGGATGAAGTTTTAAAAAATTAAGCATTCACTTTCTTCAGCACCAGAAGATAAAACTGCCAAATTTTTTCCACGATTTGAAGGACCATATGTTATAGAAAAAAAAATAACTCACGCTGTAGTAGTGTTAAAAGCCAGAAATGGTGAAACCTGCTCCGCAAACATTGATCAAATCAAACCCTACTTCGATCGTAATAAAATGCAAATATTTTCAGATCTTTTGCAGGATCCGGCACGGCAGACACCGCAGGCACAAGCTCCAGAGGTGGAAAAAACGACAAGTACAAGGGCAAGCCATTAAGAGGCAGGAGCAAGTGAAAAGAAAATTTCCCCCGCGGAAAAATTGAAGGTAGCAAGAAAAAAGAGAGGCCGTTCCACCGTCCAGAAAAGAGAGTTCACGAACACCCCCAGAATGAAGAAGGGAGAAGGACGACGACGTATGTGAAGAGAACCAGGAGAAATGATGCCAACTATAACCCGGCTCTAAAACGGATGATCTACTCATCCGACAGGACTCTCCGCAGCAAATGTCGCCGAACTGCGGAAGGGCCATCAGCGGCGGAGGAAAAGTTACAAGGAAAATTTGAACGGCCAGCAACGAGGTCCAAGCAGGAACACGAAAGAAGTTTCCCGGTTCCGCCAAGACCAGCTGCCATCAAACGGCCAAGACCACAAGCAGAGGAGAAAAAGAAGGTATTCAAGGGTGACCGAACTGGTGAAAAAAAAGGAAGCTTCCAGAGGAAGGCACTGAAGGGCGAGCCCGTACAAGAAGGAGGATAAATCAAACAACTATCTGCAATACCTTTAAGGACTGGGCCCAGAAAAGGATGTCCGAATATCACAAAGATAAGTAAAATTTTATGTTACTTTGCAAACTTAAGTTAATCTTTCATTCTTACTGCAAGTGGCAGATTTCAAGAAGTTTTACCTCATGCGAGGTCTACCTTTATCGCCAAAAGGGCGAGAAATGAGTTGTTACCGATTTTGGTATTATGTTTTTCAATTACTCGCGCGTAAAAAACTAAAGTTGATGTATAATAGCGTTGTGTAAAGACTTAAATATTGTAAAAAAAGTTATTGTATAAATTTTATTTAAAAACATTCTAGCAAGAAAGAAGTTTTAGTCTGAAAGACTTTTTGAAATGTAGTATTTCAATGTAGAAAGAATTGGCACTTGCTTTGAAAAGAATAGAAGTTAACAATGTACTACTAATGTATGTTTTCAAATGTGTAAAATTAACGGCATGTTAATATGTTCTTATATACAATGTGAACTGTTATTTTTTAAATGTTAAGAAATACCGTGATATGGTAAAAGTGAAAGAATGTTAAATTTTTTTTTTTTTTTTTTTTTATTCGTGTGACTGTAAAAAAGACTAAATCATGGTGAATATGTGTTAAATAAAGGTTGAATGATGTAGTAGTTAGGCTCTCTGACGCTACACTTCAGAGTTAGCCACTTTCAGAATAGTACCTCAGGGTTTAGAGTTGAAATTAGGGTGTGTTACGAGGTCTTGTTATGTTGAATTTTAACACGTTAGTGTTTTGATTGTAGGAGGAAGTGTTGGAACACGTAGACAGAAACACATTCGTGTTTGGTGTTCTTTTACAACACATGTCAGAGAGCACGGGGAGAGATAATTAAAATAGTCATGAATGAAATAAGAATGTTAAGAGAAATATAATTATATATGTTACTTGCCATTTCATTGTGTAACATTTCATTAAACTAGTTTTCCTTCCAGATCTCTGGAAGGAACCAGATTTGAATAAAAGCTCCTGTTTAGATGCAGTACAGATGAAAAAAAATTGTGTATCCTGGGAGCTGCTATTGTAAAAACAAATTTCTTTCTTTTAAATTTCTAGTTTCTAGCGAAAAATATTTGTAAAAGATTGGCCTCGCGTTAGATTCTAGAGCTAAAAGTTTTCAACAAGGTCGTTTTAGACCTCAGTTTCAAACTAATTAACTCTGGCGGGAAGTATGTAAGGATCTTAAGTTTTACTAACGTTTATTTTATTTTAAATCTTTACTATCACTTCTTATTTTCTACTTCCGGCCAGAATTATAAGCGTTAAGGTATTTATGCAAAGTTTGTCTGGCGAACGCCAAGTATTTAAGTTGTGGCTTTTTGCCAAGCGAGAGAGAGAGGAAGCAGTTGAGTCGAAGCAGGCCGCTTACCTTAGAAGTTAGAAGTTACGCAGTTGCTGGTTGCCTTCCAGGCCAGAGGTTTTAATCCTCTTGATAAATTTTAAACGTATTGTAGTGTTCACAGTTCTCTGTACTACATACGGCTTCCTGTTAATATAAGGCCAATCTTCCACGTTTATTATTCTAAAGTTAAATTAGAGTTTAGTTTTATTTTTATACTTTTACGTTTTGACCCCAAGTAGCGGGTCTGTGTATTCCAAAGTACGGAAGTTATTGTAAATAGAGAAAAATAAAGGGTTTTGTATACCCTTCTTGTGTATCCTGTCTACTTCCCACAGTTTTGAACATAGCTTTAGTAAGCTCTCTGTTCCGAGTCAGGTCCTTGCATGTTCCCGAAGAAGGTAAGAAGGAACATTGACCCTGATAAGAGTAATCGTATGATTACAAGAATAAAAAGGATTAGCGGATGAAAAAATTGTATTGTTACGAAAGTACAGGCCGGGAGATGCTCCCGCAAGCAGTTTAGGTTGCATAAAATGGCAAGGGCGGCAGATGCCCATTGGCGGAAATCGACCATTTGGCGACATAATTGGCGATATACCATTGACGGATGGAGAATCTTCTGGAACGAATTCTTACCGGTTTAGCCCAGAATGTTCTCGAACACAAGCCGAAAGCTATATAACCTGCTGGTCCGCAGTCAGTTAATGTGTGTGTGTCTCGTCTAGCGAGTCAATCCCTGTCGATCGAGTTGACAGACGAGCAGCGAGTGCCGAGTGGGTCGTCGAGAGAAAGTGGAGTTCCGAGAACGACCAAGCAGAGTCGGGAGCTGTACTCCGGAAAGCAGAGTCGGGTGCTTTGCAGGAAGCTGTCTCCACCGTTATTGCCTGACAGTGTGAAAGCTGTGTCGCTGATTGTTCCAATGTGTTTATAGTAGATCTTCGACGACTGTAAAAAGTGTTATTGGAGCTGTCCTGATTAATATTGGCTAAATAAAGTGTGTTTCGATACTTCATCAAGTGTCGTCGTTATTCACTCCAACCCCGTACGAACGTGAAGGAAGAAAATAACGTAACAATATAATAAACAAAATCACTTGTAATGCGGGCGGTTTGCGAAGTTTGACTACCTATCCCAGTCAATCATACATCCTGTTAATATCAGTTTACTCATTTATCATTTGTTAGCCCAAAGGGCTGTTAGTCTCAAAACGGCATTTTGCGTCGTTTCACTTTCTACGTTGGTTCACTTTTCAAACTGTTGCCGCCAAATATTATCGCCATGCATTATAATTAAAGAAAATAATAATGAAAACTCTGCATGAATGTTTCTCGCATTGTGAAAAAACGTCGGTACCTAGAGCCATCAAATTTTGAATAATGTACGTCTCCACTCGAAAATATGGGTATTTGGAATTTGTTTTATTATCTATTTCATATTTTTTCAAGTATTTATAAGTTTTTGATTAAGAAATTCAACGATTTCAACGCGAGCAATGGCAACACTGTATGGGAGAGGGGAAAATTATCTCCAGCCCGCGAGAGAGACTGTGTATTGGAAGTTCTAAAGATATGCCTTTTTAAATATTTTGTAATATTGGTGTTGAATTGGATTTTATGATTTAAGTAGGAAGGACATGATATTTAATAAATAAAGGTTACACACAAAACGTTAAAAAAACGGGCGTAATATAAAATCTGAAAGTTTTAGCCTTTTTTTAATTTCGTCCATCCTTTTTTTTTCCCGACGCTATTTTATCGTAATTTATAGCTTACATATTTCTTTTATTTACTTCATATGCTATTTGATTATTCATTACGTATGGTTCTACTTATGCAGGGCTGCGGCATTTCTAATTTTAGAAATTAAACCCTGAGCGAAATGTTAATTAAATAAGGGTAAATAAGGATAAGAAACGTATTCATACTCACTCACAGTTTTCTTTCAATTCTGATTTACTGAGGGGGTGGAGGAAGTATCCTTCAACTAAGTGAGTCAAATTAGTCATTGTAACAAGACACGTCTGTATAGCTTTCAAATCACATGGATCTTCATCAGCGGCAAAGCAAGCTTTGGGCGGAAAAAGACAAAGAAAATCAGTTGTCGATCTCTTGAAACAGTATAAAATAATTCTGTTATAAAGACAGTATTAAACACAACTCTCTGTTAACCGAGGGCAGATTAACAGGGCCCTATCTAAAGAAAAAAAAAAGAAAATATTTTACAGTGTAGCGATGGAAACTTACTGTCACAGCTATCGGAATAAAATAAAACTGCCTACGTGGAATATGAAAACGACAAGAGAAATATGTGGGACAATAGCAGAGATAGCAGATAATGTCATGGAATTTGAAAGTTATTTTATTCCAAAAAATGTGCAGTTAAATAGAACGCAATTCAAAACATACATTTATTGCACAATAAGAAACAAATACTCTAACGTTTTTTCGTGGTTTGAACTCAATAATACTGTTTAAGTTCTCTCGTAAATATTGTTTTCAATATCACTTTATAGAATTTGGTGTTCTTTGGTAGCATAAATTAAGTCCAAACTCTTTAAGATACTCAGAGCGAGTTAGCGCTGTGTCTGTAAAGCATTGCAAAGTCTTCAGAAGATTTAAAAACAAATGCTTTTATTACATCAGAACTTAAACTGTATGTCTCGTGATTACACATCAACCACCTTTTGTAGCGATGTAACTTAAAGTAACAGTCGATTTCAAATTTAAAACTAACTCTAATAGTCAAAGGTTACACAATTGATTTAACGCGAAGACGTCTCAAAACTTCTCACTGACGTAAAAACTTAAAATGACGGTAGCTATAAGGCCAAGCTGTATAATACAATCTTATCTGAGTTAGCAGATTCTTAGTAATGTAGCCCCGACTGGCAGAAACACGCTGTCTCTTACAATTCGAAATCCTCACCTTAAATTTGCATTCTGCTAGGGAAACAAAAAGTAGAAGTGATAGTAAAGATATAAATTATAATAACTGGTTAGATAATTATAACGGAATTTTATAGCTTTTCTGATGATGTTTAGTTTTGCATTAGTTACAATATATTCTTTTTGGTTTGAATACTGATTTAATTTAAGAAATCAAATGAACGCATTCTTCATACAACAAACTGCTTGCATATATATAAATTGCTTGAAAATTAGTCATCTTTACTATGCTCTTTTTTATCTCCCGCCAACCTGTATATAAAATATATATATATAGGTAAAAGGAGTAATGTTTTCGGTCCAAAAATTCGGTAGCGAGTTTTCAGTAAATAAGCACAAGTTAGAATCGATACAACACGTTTTTACTATTTCTGCAATGATATCTGTCTGTGTGTGACGATTATTCTGTCCACGACAATTTTTATAGGAAATTTTCAAAAATTTCTAATTTTAGTATTTAAGTTTTCTACATTCATATAAAGAGTTGATAAGATTTTGGGTGAAACTTAACGAAAGTGATTCTTCACATGAAGCCCATAACAGTCTTTAAAGGACGATCGGGAATGGTACTTTACTTGAAGCCCATAACAATTTTTTAATGAAAAACAGAATCCAAAACTTTACAGTTTTACTGTTTAAGGTATTTATATCAATAGAAACAACATATCGGATCTCTGCTAAAATTATCAGACCGGGAGAGATACTGCGCTTGAACCTGTGAACAGATTTTCGTAAAAAAGTGTATTACGAGTTAAGCCAAAATTTCTCAAATTTGGTACTTAAAGTAGAAAAACATATTACATTTATAAGCAGTGAATATATTCTTGGAATTATGCTGAATTCAACAACAATAAAGCCATTATTAAGACCAGCTCTCGTTATGAAGCAGTTAAGTGGATTAGTCTCAATCCTCAATTTTGTGTTCGTTTCACGTTTGTGAAAAATCACTTTTCAAATAAAAGGATGATGCCACAAAATGTTATCGTAATGTACTGTTTTAAAAATTAATGTAGCAAATATAAATAATGCAGCGAATAAAGTGTACGACAACAATTAACACTCTATAAGGAACTCTGAAGGTAAGCTGATTTTAAAGATTTTGTTGAAATTTGTCAGAAATTTTGTTGTTGAATTTTATGAGGCGAAAGTGATATTCAATAAATAAAGCTAAAATGACAATTAAAAAGTTGGTCATCTTATACAGGTATCAAAAACTGAGAATACTGAATAAGAGAGTATTGCAGTACTTAACACTCTATCGGGAATTCTAAAGATATACTGCTTTTAAAAATTTTGTGATTGCTGATTTCTGACCGATTTCTGAATTCTGAATGACCAGAGGATATACTACGTTCGATGCGGTATTTTCATATAAAAGCATGAGAAATGATGTGTACATGAGCACATACAGTTACCATTTCTATGGTGTAGAAAGAATAGAATAATAAGAAATGGGTACTATCACATTATCTGCTCGGCCTTTGACAAGAATCATAGGAAAACAATCACATAAAATAAACTATAGGCCCTTATGTTTTGCGAAATGACAACACTTACAGAGATGTGCGGATGGTAAATGCGTGGTAGCTACAGGTAATGGGATTGTAACTCTGCAAAAAATCCGAAAGACATTGCTAAGTACTTTTCTAACATCAGAACAGAGTAAAATCAACAATACACTGTTATTTATTTATTTCAGAAAAGGATCTTAAGAAGTGAAATATTTGGAATTAATTCAAGGCACCTGACCCAGGACCACTGTCCCAGGAAACCTGTACAAACAGAAAAACACTTAAACGGGTTATTTGGGATACGTTCGGGACACTGGAATAATTATCAACAGAAAAACTGTCTCAGGAAAACGCTGCCTAAGTGCCTGTCCCTGAAAATGGGACAGGCACTTAGGCAGCGTGACATTTGGAATATGTTCAGGACGCTTGAATAGGTCATACAAAAGCAACCGTTACGAATGAGGAAAGGTACTTAAGAAAGGAAATATCTGAAATAGATTCGAGGCACTTTGGCATTTCATCGAAAAACTGGACTTCTCTGTACGAAATCTATACGAATATGGAACAATATTTAAAAGGTACAAAGGAAACACTCCTTGAGCATAATAAAAATATAGCTTGTACGTGCTCTCTTCAGAAATTTCGAAACTAATTCTCCCTATTTTTCTGTTCTTGTACATTTTTAACTAAATTAATACTGCTGTTCATGCAAAAACTACGTGTATTTTATATCTCTTACCAGTTACAATCATGAATAACCACACAACAGCAGGATTCCACCGGCTCATCTTGGGGACGTGCCTATTTCAGATCCGTACGGAAGATGTGTGAATGCTGCGAGTCTTTTGCCATTTGCCGGTGACTGGAAAAAAGCAGCATGATTCCTTCTGTCCTCCATCCCACCACGTCTAAATTTAGGTGTTCTGATCTCATGCCAACTATTACTCTTGATTTGCGACGTAAATGAAATTGTTCATTGCAGAAGTTACATGCATCTGAAATTCCGTTGCCTTATGATAGTAAGATTATGCGTTCATGTTAATATTAATTTTAGAGACATTTTAATTTATAAACTTTAATAAAATTTTCTTGATTTGAAATTCTGTGCTCACAATTTGAGAATTAAGTAACAGGCATTAATTGTTTATGCTCTCGTACTTTCTTTTTTTCCCCCTAGTAAGCCGGGCGAACTCCAAACTGGAAAATTTATTCTTTCCACTGTAGCGTTGCACATCTTTCACTATAAGTGTCGCAATGTATTGTAATAAAAAATTACATTACATTGCCACATTTAAGCAATTAGTACTTACAGCCTATACTTGCTTTGTCTCGACATTGTATGGTTTTCCAATATTTTTAAGATTCAGTATGCTGCGAAGTCCCGATTAATCGTGCCTTGTCTTAAAAAAAGTCAAGTTTGTTTATTGGTGAAGGATGGAAAAATTAGCAAAAAAATTATCAGCGTGAAACAAAATTGTCTATGGAAAATAAAACAAGAAAAGGAAGTATCTGGGACAGCAGCAATGATAGCAGATATTGTACTAATATTTGAGATTTGTTTTTATCCGCAACAGTACCCAATTTAATTGTACATAATTTGAAGTATACAAATATTGTATAGGACGTTCTAATCGACTTTTTTTACGTGAGTTTGAACCCAGAGACACCGTTTAAAAGCTCTTTTGTAAATGTTTTTCTTTGATATCATTTATAACTTACCCAGAGCGACACCTCCGGTGTTTGGGAAAGTTCCCGAATTCTCGATGGGTTTATCTGCTTTTAGCAACTTAGCACGGAGTTTGCATAAAAACTATTTTCATTTACTAGTAAAATATGGTTCATTGTCTGAAATCGTATCTAGCCTTATGATGGAAGTCAAACAGAAATAAGATAGACTAAAACCTTAACATTTGAATTTTTAAGAATATAGCCTCGCAGAGTCATTAGTTTTTTATTTATTATTTTTTCCCCTCTTAAGCAGAAAATGTGAAAAATGTGCAGTGCCCTCGACGAGAGTCAAACTCCGAAATAGGCGTCGAGTATGTTACACAGCCTTAATTCATTTAATTAATTAGTTTGTTCATTCTAATGATATTTATTCTTCTGCTATTTACGGTGTGTTTTTTTTTATTTGAAATATTAATTTAATTTACGTAACGAAATAAATTTATTCATCAAAATAAATACAGAAAAAATTTTATTATATTTTCCGGTAATTATAACACGGATAATTTTTTTTTCTGCGTTTTAGAACAGCTTTCGAATTAACCACTATTTTCTGTGGATGTTATTCTCAGTGTTACTTTCGTTCATTGGAAGGCAATCGCATTTTCTATTGCATAACAAATTATTTGGATCTTTTTCATTACAGTATAACACCCACCAGACAACGTTCTCTTGAAAGATAGATCCACCAATTTGAAACTTCCGGCGGAAAAAAAACTTTTGCTATTAACTTATTTCAACTGTGTTAAAATTCAATATAAGAAATGTATTTCTCTTAGTTTAGTTATCTCAACAAAGAACGAAATAGTATGATTTAATTTTTAAACTTTTAATTGACTGTATTTACTTTGTAAACAAGAACCCTCTTATAGCAAGCAAGAACAACCCTTTTAATTTGTCAACGGTCAGCAGGCAACGTTAAAGCGTTTATTTTTCTCCGGAAAATTGTTTGGCTCGTGTTGTTGTTCTACGGGAGGAGAAGGGTTGTCACTTTTGACAATGAAGATGAAACTCGAATAATTTTCTTGGGCTTTTCCGTATCAATATATGGCATTGTAAAGCAGTGTCGCTCTCATTGGTGACATCAACATGACAATCATAACCAGATATTTTGCACTATAATCATAATTGATAAAATACAAATTTTCAATCTTTTTCCAAAGAAACAATTGAATAATCAAATACAAATTCAAACATTAACAACCCAGGTTCGATTTACCTTAAGGACGAGGGGGTTAAGTTTATTTTATCTATTTATTTATTTGGAGAAGTGTGTCATTATCTTTCTTTTTTTTTTTTTTTTTTTTTTTAGTCCAAAGGGATTTGAATCCCGAAGGACTATTAGTTTCGTTTTGGCATTTTGCGTCGGACGGATAAATGTCGGTTCACTTTTCAAACTGTTGCCACAAAATGTTAGAGTCTTGCATTATATTTGAAGAAATTAAATAATGAAAATCTGCGTAAATGTATGTATATTTCTCACATTGTCATAAAATAACGGTACATAGAGTCATCGAATTTTGAATAACATAATCCTCCAACGAATATGAGCATGTGGAAGACCAAATTTGAAATTTGAAATTTGTTTTATGATCGATTTCCTATTTTTTAAAACTTTGACGAATTTTTGATTAACAAACTCAAGGATTTCAAAGCGAGCAATGGCAACGTTGTGCAGAAAAAAACATTTTTATCTCCAGCGCGTGAGTCTCTGTATCGGAAATTCTAAAGATATGCTCGTTTTAAAACTATTTTGCGATATTGCTGTTGCACTGGATCTTATGGTTTAAGTGCGAGGAACATGGTATTTAATAAAGAAAGGTAACATACAAAATGTTAAAAAAACGCCCCTTTGGACGTAATTTAAAATCTGAAACATTTCAGATTTTTTTTTTTTTTTTTGCCTACAGTTAAAGTTACTTTTTAATTATTGATATGAGAACATGAGGCGATGCGACACCTCCGGTGTTCGGGAAAGTTCCCGAATTCTCGATGGGTTTATCTGCTTTTAGCAATTTAGCACGGAGTTTGCATAAAAACTATTTTCATTTACTAGTAAAATATGGTTCATTGTCTGAAATCGTATCTAGCCTTATGATGGAAGTCAAACAGAAATAAGATAGACTAAAACCTTAACATTTGAATTTTTAAGAATATAGCCTCGCAGAGTCATTAGTTTTTTATTTATTATTTTTTCCCCTCTTAAGCAGAAAATGTGAAAAATGTGCAGTGCCCTCGACGAGAGTCGAACTCCGAAATAGGCGTCGAGTATGTTACACAGCCTTAATTCATTTAATTAATTAACCAGGTATGATTTAGATCACCAAGTGTGCTCTATTTTCTCTAAGTTGGTGGTAATGCAGTACTGGTACCAGTCTGTCTTTTCTGTTATTCCAGTAACTACTACCTGTTCTAGATATGACAGTAATAAGGCAACACTTTTGAGCAAAATTTGACAAATCATCGAGTCGGTCCTAACATATCGAATTCTGCATACTAACTAACTAACTTACTTTCGGTATCTTGAACTGGACACCTAAAAGCGCATCTGATTCGATTCAACTTTCTGGACACTATAGGTCTAAGCATAAACATTCAGTAGATATTTAAATTTGCACTCCTTTTAAAACACCTTTTACAAATCCTAACAGCCCGGCAATAAAATTTCACTGAATATCATTAGTGATTTTCATGATAGAAGAGAATATGTGCAGTAAAATAATGATTTTTACCATCCTGAAAATAATATCTGTAGAAGCAAACTGAATCCTTCGGTAAAGATTTAATCTTGATTAAAGATAAGATCCACTTGAATTGTATTTTTCACGACTAATCTAGCGAAGCAAAAGCAAAACCTTAGAACGTTATAACTATAAATATAATAAGGTGACTTAGCTAATACTATACTTAAACAGAACCTGACTCATCAAAATTGGGTTCGTTTTTATTCTAGGATGCAATATTCAGTTGTTTCCTAGACTCGATTTCCTCTATTCCAAATTTAGTTTTTATTATTAGCATGTATTTGCTTTTCCTCATTTCTATGTAGAATTAAGTATCAAATGAATGTATTTCGTATCAAGGAACATAAAGTGCAAAAATCGATTTAAATTTGATTTAAAATGTTTGATTACTTTAAAAATACGGTATAATTTTATATTGTGTATGACATTTTCAGGTCATATTAAAACATTTATTGTATTTGTTATTACTTTTGGGGAAAAATACGTCGATGAAAATCAAATAAAGTTTTATTCGAGTTTTTAAAATTTTTTTTAATGACAACAGCTTTATTCTTGAATGCTATCGAAATTCTCGTCATATGACCAATTACCATATTTCTTCGATTCTAAAGCATACATTTTTTTCCCCTGTCAGAAACACAATATGCGTTTTAAAATCCCATATTTTTCATATTAATAATTATTCCGAAGTAACACAATTACGGCATTGAAATCAAGAGGTAAATCTTACGATTCGTGACGTTGTAAGGTTTCTCACTCCTTTTGTCTAAGATGAACATCGAGGAACCTTAGGCTGCGTTCAGACGGCGGCATAAAATACATAAATAGTCATAAGGTCATCATAGTAGTCATAAGGGCATAAAATACGGGAATTCCGTTCACACTTGCGAGAACGGGGTAAGCCGTGGCCAATGAGAGAAGCTAAATTTGCGTATGTGTGGATGTGTCTACAACTTTCCCGCGCTGTTCTCCTGCTCGATTAATTTCCCGCGTTCGCTCTGCTTGTTTTGTGATAACGAAATCTTCTGTAGAACGCCGCTTCGTTTTAGCTTTGCTCTGATTGGTCGACGCTTATCCCAAACTCGGCGTAAAGTTGAAAACTTTGAACCCTATGCCACGAGCCCTAAACCAAATTTTATGACGTAACACAGACTGGTTGCCTTGGCAACGGAGCTCGGCTTTAACCACTTATGCCACAGACGCCCCCGTCTGAACGAAGCTTTAGTGAACATGTAGCGACTTATCGCTGAGTTCACACAACTAAAGACGCAGACTCGAGAAGGGTTAAAATACCTTTTATTTCTCTCACATAAGAATAACAGCCGGCCCTTCTCGGGCTTACAGGAAGCCTCTATTCAGGTTTTAACTCAGAATAAGAAATAAGAAACTAAACTATAATTAACTAAAGGAGACTCATCCGAAGCTA